TTGGCAAACCAGGTGTTTGGGTGTGCGGCCTGCCGATTCATCTTCGGTGGCTGCAAGACTTGTCAGAACCCAAAGTTTCGTGGACGGAACGCAGCGCAAGTCCGTGCTGAGGAGGGGGCCGCCAGCAACAGTGCTGGCAGTAATGAGGTGGAGCCTGCTGTGGCAGGGGGTCCGGGTGGGATTGAGAAGAAGCGCAAGCCCACGAAGTCTTGCAAAAAGATGGTCAAAAGATCCAAGTTGTCAAAGTAAACGGTGAACGCATCCAGGAAACTCATCTGAATCAGCCTTTTTTTTAAGCCGCATGTTTTATAGACATCACGCAAGATCAACAATCTTTAATACAATATAAAAGACATGCCAAAATACCCAAACTTGTTGGAGTCTGCTGAGCCCCTCCCCTCCGCATCCGTTCCTTGGCCCAGGTCAGCTTCTTCCCTGTGCTGATGGCAGTGATGTTCATGACATTTCCAGCGGGATGTCATTTTGGCAGGGATACCCTTGCCAACTTTTGGGGGTGTTTGGCAGTTGAACATGCCACATGCGGGGTGTGAGCCTGTAAGATTTTAAATGCATTGAAATCATCAATATATCTCATTCTGTGTTCTCTCATGTGCGCTGGCGTCACTGCCCTGAAAGCTTTAGCAAAATCCGATTGGGTGCCATTATTGGCAGAATCTGTCATTTGAAAAGGCCTTTGAGTAGGGAGGCAGGCCGTGTTTCCGTGACATGCGATGCACCATTCGCAGGCACATTGGAAAAACAGATATAGTTCGCCTGCACTTGATTTTGCCTCAAAGGATTTGCACTACATGTTGCAACACATGCATGGATAATATCTCCTCTCTCTCTCTCTCTCTCTCTTTCTCTCTTTCAGATATATAGATCGATATATATATATATATATGTATACACGTCCAAATCCAAGTGTTACATGTTGATATATATATATATATTATATATATATAAAAAAATATATATATACAAACCCTGGAAGGTGTCTCACCGGCCCAGCGCACCTGGACATGCCAGGAGATGTATGGTGCAAGGATCAAACGTCGTCCTCCACAACCTGTCGGTGCGCTTCCCCCTCTCTGTGCATTGGGGTGGGGTATGCTGCCCTTGGGTGTGAGTGTGGGACAGTATTCACCAGATTGTGACAGCATGCAATTCGCCATGACCCCCATCACTTCCATTGCAGCCAGTTCCCGTTTGAAAGAGGGTGTCGAAAAATCTTCTAAACATTGTGAAACAAATTATGATCGAATTGTTGTAGTCCTAACTTTCAGAATGATGTCGATTTTCTTTCATTTTCTCAGTGCTGGCCTCTTGCACAAACCTTTCGGATTCTATAGAGGTCATCTAAAATTGGCCTCAACTGTAGCTGGGATGCCGGTGATGGAACGAGCCTCGCTGATGCGCTTGATGCACCGCCTTCTTCATTGGGGTGTCCCAGAAGAAACTCGCCTGACATGGTGTGTAGCACAATTCAGAAACGAATCTATTATTGAAGATTGATCAGCTTAATTTGGAATTCTTGTGGCCCAGGTGCTTATCTTTGCCGTGATCTTATTGTCTTTCACTGAGGGCATTGATTGGGGTCAGGCTTGGCAGGGATTGCAGTCGGGAACAATTATTGGTTCAAACAGCTAACCTGTTTCCAAAAAGGAGTGATTTAACTTTGCAGAAATCCCTTTTTTCAGGAGTATGAAGCTATTGAGATGTTTTCGGGTGTTGGAACTCTTAGCCGTGCACTCCGGGCATCTGGATTATCCACATGCAGCCTGGACATCGTAGATTGGAACCCTTGGATCCAAGCTCGAATGCTTCAGCCCAACAAACGCATGTGCAAGGGCAACCCTCTGGATTTAACGACGCCAAGTGGATTTGCGTCCCTTATATAATGTTGCTGTTTTTCCTCTGTGGTTCTTGTATGTGTATATATATATATATGTATAATTATATATATATATAGGATTGTCATAAGTTCAACATGCCAGTAATTGGTAACAACCTTATCTGCTCAGGTTACTTTTGGTGACATTGATGTCAGGCAAGGACGACGATTTGGTTGTATCCATTGCTTTGCTATGCGCCACATGGGTAGCAATTTCACGTGGTTCAACACGACGACATTATTTCTTACCTCTTGGAGATCCCGACAGCCCATCAGTTGCGATATCAAATTTATTGACAGCAAGGACCCATGCAGTTCCTTATTTCTTTACAAGTCATGGGAAGGGTGAATGTTGATTTGTGAGTATCACAAACCAAAATCTCAATCGAAAAAAATGTAAAACGAATCTTGTGTTGATTTCTTATGTGTTGCTTTTTTGCACTTAGAATAGCCACTTGCCACCCCCGCTGCTTTGCCTGCCCAAGCGCTCTGGCAGGACATGCTTGGCGATCCTCCTCATCATGGCCAAAGGTGGAACATGGGTTCTGGAACAACCACATTCCTCTTTGGTGTTTCGGCACCCCAGATTCCAGATGATACTCAGGTATGTGAGAGTGCCATGGCACTTATAGAACATTTTTGTTGGAATCGAACAACATGATGCATAATAAACAAAATGTGTTTATACTGGTTTTGGACACCTGTAATATATGTTTATTGGTTTTGGACACCTGGGCAACTTGTTGAAATTTGAGGTGTTCCGGCAATCCTTTTGGATGTCTCGATGGGGAGGGAAATCACCAAAACGAACAACTTTATGGTCCAACAGTTCTGGCATTCGCTATTTTGCCACTGCCAAGAAGTATGCCCGCATGAAAGCACGCAGTGCCAAGCAGAAACTGGCAGATGTCTATTTCGACCGACATGGTCAGAAGAGGTATAAGGGAAATGCCAAGCTCAAATCAAGTCAGCCCTATACTTAGTCAATTTTAAGTCGCAATGATTTGATTCTTTTGATTCTTTTGATTTCTCCTCAGTATTTTGCCAATCTGAGGCAATATCCTATGGGATATGGAAGGCAATTTGCTGCTTCAGTTAAGCACCTTAAGAAGGAAAGGGGGCCTCCACTGCACCCAAAGTATGCACCTCGCTCCAAATAAACTTGTCACCCCTGGTTATATATATATACAAAGGAATGAAATATGGCATGTTCTTACTCATACAAGTTCATTTGTTCATATGTCCCCTGGGAAAAAGCATGTTCCAACTGACTGCAGGTTCCTGCTCCAGAGCTCCTCCAACCTTTCGATGCATCGAAGATGCCCTACAATGCCATCGCCGACCTGTGGGCCGATGCCCAGATGGAGGAGGTGCTACGCTACCTCTACGGGAATTCCCATTTGAAACTTCCAGAGGAGTGGAAGTGTCTTTTCCCCAGTGAGGTCAAATAGGGTTTGACCAATTCATTTTACGATTGCAGGCTTTGCTGTAGGCCCAGGAAAATATACGTTTACGGGTTTTGAATTTACGTTTATGGGTGTTTTTGGAAAAAACCCTGATTATGGGCACTGTGACCAAAATGATGTAAAGTGCCATAAATACCCATACTAGTGCCGTAAAAAACCATAGGAAACCTACTCCTAAAATAGGCTACTTTCATGGGTCAGGGCATTGCCAAAAATTCTGGCCCAATCGGCTTTTAATTCGTAAATGATCGTAAATCTACGATTATGCACTGAGGCAGTGGCAATGGCAACTTCAGCACGTTGACCATAGAACGTGTTTTTTGAGGTGCAGCCACAGGTGAACGGCTCATGTGGCATGACAAAAGGAAATTTGCAGAAAAATTGAACTTCAGGAAAATTTTGTCGATCGGTGATTTATCAATCATTGTTCATTCACTCTTGTTTCTGGCAATGTGGCTGGTTCAACAGGGTGGAGAAGCGTCATTTTAGGGATATAGATCCAGTAGATCATGTCATCATCCCCTGCACGTTTCCCCAAAAAGGGGCCATTCCTTTCCAAGCAATGGTCCTCTGGTTCACTCATGCGTGGCTTATCTTTCTTGAATGACCAGAAGGAGAAGGAAAAACTTGAGTACGGAGATATCCTTGCCGTTCCTAAGCTGCTCATATATATATATATATATATTTTTTCTTTTTTTGGCCATTCCCCAATTTACAACCATTCAGTCCAACCCACTGCCAAGGTTGCCAAGGCGCGTCTGGAGAAGTTGAAGAATGAGAGCTCAGCTGCCCCAGGGACACCTGCAGCTGGTGGGAAGACACATTCCCCAGTTCAAAGCCATGGGTCTCCAGCATGTGCTTCAGCTGATACACCCCAGAGATTGGCAACACCACTAGACAAAAGTCCAAAGTTTGACAAGGACTGATATCGTTGAAAAACACTTGAAACCTTGTCTACTTTTAGATGATGTTTTGTAAGCATTCCTCTTGGTTCACCCCCCTTGCCTATGCATGCAACATGTGCAGGATGTCCAGGATCCCGAAGAGCAGGTGGCTGCCCGAAGCGACCTTGATGAGCACACGGATGATGAGGAGGCTCCACAAACATCAGTCATATCTGTATGTATATAATTGTATATATACATATTTAAGTGTATGTATGTGTATGTATGTATGTATGTAATGTAATGCAATGTAATGTAATGTACTGTAATGTAATGTACTGTATAATTGTATGTATGTATGTGTTTATAATAAGATTTCCCTTGAAAGGGGTCCTCCAGGTATTGTGTTTTATGTATCTATATGTAAACACATACAATTACATATATATATATATATACATAAATATATATATATATACACACATATATATATATATATATGTATGTGAGTGGATTTGTCCAATCCCTTCCCACCAAAATCTAGGGTATCCAGTGATGGGCCCTGGTCTGGAAGGAACCAGCTGATGAGACTACGGTTGACGAACGCAAGAAGGCTTGGTGTACCCCAGCCATGTTCTCAACATTCTTTTGGGTTCTTTTGTTTCTGACCAAACAGCGTGTGGAGAGGACAAACCATCAAATTTCCACCATATAGTGATATATTTGGCCATGCAGGCCACTGACGAGATCAAGAAGATGGCAGCCTTAGATGCGAAGCTTCGTCGTCTCTGCTGTCCCAAACCGTTGTCTGGTAAGTTGGAAGTGAGCCCTGAGATTCACAAACAATGGGCGGCCGGAGGCCAGCAGCGCAAGGTCTTGTTGCAGGTTCTGGTCAGAGCCAAAGGGGACAAGGCAGGTTAATCCCAATTCTTTCGATCAGTTTTTCTTTCTTTTGTTGGTGTGACTGTTGCCATTGATCCCATTCCTCTCTGAGTGGTTTTTGTGTTTGTGACGTTGGTGATTTGCAAGAGGCTGTCTTCAAGAAGGAGGTGGAACACCTTAGCAAGAAGTCTCGAAAGAACACACTCAAGGTGGAGAAAGGTTTTTACACAAAGGAAAACATGCGCAAAGTTTTGGGATGGAATGCGAAACTTGTTGGAATTATATTATGTTCAACTGTTCAACATGTTCTGTTTTCTCCCATGCTGCAGCTTTGTGTCCTGTTGATCCCCTTCTCCCTCCCTTTCCTATCTGTCAGCCTGTGCACTCAGGAAGCGAATCAAGGATGCGGTCAGGTACTGCACTGTGAAGTCAAGGGTGAAAACGCATGTGAGGCACTGGGTTTTGGCGCTCAATATTTGTATATTTGATAGCGATTGATGTCACAAAATTGCATGCAACCTCCCTGGAACATGTCCCTGAAGTATAGGCGTGACAAGTATGAGCGGGACCTCAAAGAGTACTGGGTTGACACAGCCACCACGGGCACATTCGAGAATGAACACGAAGAGTCTTTGGTTGACCGAACGTCAACTGAAGGGATTGCCAGCAGCTTTGACCTTGGGCTCCCTGCTGCGCCAGATGGCATCGAGGACCAAGGTGACGAGTCTGAGGCCGAGTCTACTTCTGGAAATGAAGCTCCCAGTGTCCGTTCGAAAGTTCCCAAACCGGATGACCTTGAGAATGAGCCAGTCTTTGAGGCACTCTTCAAAGACACGATGTGATGTTTGGTGTATAGAGTATTTAAGCCTGATCCTCTTTACTAGTCCCACTTAGATTCTTGGAGCCACCTTGAGGCAGTTGAGAACATCAAAACCGTTGTTGACAATTTGCTTCGAGTTCAGAGCCGATTGGATACCCTCCGTGAGAAGCTGACAGCCCTGAACACTTCTGAAAGCCAGCAGTCCCTTGAATGTAAAGTGACGCCCATGAGATTGACTTTATATATATATATCCAATTTCCCACCAAGACCCACAGACTTTACAGTATATTATATATATTATAACCGAAGAACAATTATTCTATCCCATCTTTTTGGTTGATGAACCCATCTTTTTGGTTGATGAACTAAGGTGCCTCCCGAAGGTGGATGCCTACCGTTCCAAGCTTGAAAAGCGACATGATGAGCTTGCCGATCTCAAGTCTTATTTCGATGGGCACATGAAGGCATCTGATGGGGAAGAACCATTTGAGAAAGCGAACCTTGTCATATTCAACCGAATCATTCATTGGTAGTTTCTGTTCAGCCCCAGTCTTTGATCTTATCTACCACGGACTTAGGAAGGTGAGCCAATTGCAGACCCTGCTGCGAAGCATCGAAGTGGAGTGCATGCCCCAGACATTCAGCTTGTCCATGGAGGTGGTTTCTTATTTACATCTTCCCTACTTGCAGGACATCCCGCGCTTTGATGGAAGATACAAAGCTGAAGAAGTCCAGCCCTTGGTATATTAATGAAAGCTCAGTCCACACATTACATTGGAAAAAAAATATAGTCTGACCCCCCAAAAAGTGCATGATCATGTTGGTATCTCTCAGGACGATCTTGAAGCCCACCAAGCCCCCGAAAGGGGATGAGCCTGGTGCCAATGCGCCCAGCGGCAGCGGCAAAAGGCCCAGGGCCAAAGCTCCTGCCAAGAAACGTAAGGCTGCCGTGGCAGAACCATCCGAGCCGGCAAAGAAACCTAAGATTAAGAAGAAGAAGGCAGCCAACTGATTTGAGGCCAGGTATCTCTAAGTTTGCCATATCTAGACAAAAAAAAAGTTTGAGGCAGCCAACATTTGTCTCTGCATCAATGATTGCATGGAATTATTGGTGAGGACAATGGAGAATATTCGATCCTGAGCTTGGCAAGATCAAAGCCAGGTCCCAAGATGTTTCATGCTAAGATTGAATCTTGAAATAGATCATGTCTTTGGCTGAGGCTTCAAGGAGCCAATCTGATTTGGCGCCAATCTATATGTACTTTGGGTCGCTGGCGTGTGATTGCACGCGCTTTTGTCGGGTTGGCAGGGTAGCCCCAGCAGCGTGAAGCATGCCAGATTTTATCTGAAAACTTTTCCCATACGCATTGGAACATTTGAATTGCAGGGGGCCCTGTCCGTGTCCTATGGACAAATATTCTTTTGACTTTGCTGAGTCTTCGCAGCATGAGCTGTAGTTCAAGAAACTTGCAGAAGAGCTTCAAACTTGGGGAAAATATTGCCCTTTGTGCTGACGTTACCCCAAAGATCTCCAAAATATTTTTGCCCACTATACCCTCAGTTCGTTAGCTACCCATGCGCAGGTTCCACTCCTCAAGCAGTTGCATCTTCGCACGGCCCCGTGGGTCCTGCAGGCAAAGCTGTGGCACGGGCGATCGCCAAGGGGGACCTTTGGTGTAAGGTTTGTTATACTTTGTCCTGATATATCTCTATTTTATGCCTCTATATTTTTTTTTGTCTTTTTTTGGGGTGCTGTAAGTCCAACCCCCACCAACATCTGATGTTACGATGTTAAAACAGATTGTTCTTATGAATTGTTTTTAGACTCATCATCTGAGGTTACCGAAAAAGAAGCCTGCCATTTGGTGCAGGCATTTTGGGAGGAGTTCGAACCCTTGCTGAAACCCGATTCCATAGTCCCAAGTGGAAACTTTTGTGCATTAGCATCCAGGCTGGCCAGAACAGACCATGAGAACCGTTTGTCCAGCCACCTTCCCAAATTTGGGCTATGCACCAACATCCCAGTGAGTTTTGTTGATGTGGGCCTGTCCGAAACACACCCAATCTTAGCGGTTTCCGACTTCATCAAGACATTGGATGCCGACAACAAAATGGACACTCTATTGATGGGCAACCGGGCTCAACAATATGAAGAGTTCTGGAATTATTGGCGGCAACTTGAACCTGGCCATCCTATCTTTCACGTTCACCATGACCACCTGGGAAGATGTATTCCAGTAGCTATTCATGCCGATGAAGGGACTTCTGTTTAAAAAAAAGCCTTAATGGTGCTTCAAACCCAACCCCTTCTGGGTAGAGGCAGTCGAAAGCGCAAAGCTGACTCTATGACGCATGGGCTCAACTTCGTGGGCAACAGTTTGCAAACAAGATTTTTATTCTCAGTTATGCTTGGACGCATGTACTCTGGAAAGAAACACAAGAACAAACCTCTTTTGGCATTGGTGCGCCACTTGAGTCTGCAACTCCGGGATTTGTTTTACCATGGGTGCAGGGTCAGGATTGATGGCAAGGTGCAACACATCTATGTCATTGCCCTGGCCCTTAAGGGTGATTGGCCTGCCCTATCAAAGCTGGGTCGGTTATCCAGGCATCATGGAAGAAACCCGAAAAGCAAAGAAAAAGGCGCAGGCATCTGTCATCTGTGCCGAGGAGGTATGGTTGATGGGTCTGATTGGCATGATACCACTTACGAGAACATGGCGGCAATGCACAAGGATGTTCCAGTTCCATGGACCAAAGAATCTGACTTGACTTTGAATATTCCAATGGACCCTCAGTCCAAAGCGAAGTTCTTTCGGATCGATGTCTTCCATACATGTCACAAAGGGGTCATGGCAGATTTGGCAGCGAATATTATTGCGCCTCAGCTAATCATCTTATTACCGCGTTTTTACTAGGAAAAGCAATCAAAAAAGTATAAAAACTCATGATGCCCAGTCATCCCAGGTATGTTGCTATGACTACGGAATCTTCGGGTGCAACTCTTTTGAGGAGCATTTGTCAACCGTATTTGCTGAGCTGAAACAATTTTGCGCACGGAACTCATTGCAACTGCACATGATGCACCTATCGCGACAATTGCTTGGTTTTACAAAATCCAGTGAGTACCCGATTGGGATTCTTGGTTGCTCAAGAATTCAAACATTTTTCTTGACATGCTATAAATGTGTTTTCGATTTTATGTTTTTTTTGTGTGATTCAGCGGACTGCCCAGGAATTGGTTCAAAGGTGCTGACACAGTTTCGCTCTTGAAATTTCTTGAGATGATTCTTCCTGAGAAACTATTGGATGCCAGTGTGGACGAAGAGACCAACAATTTTTTCCAGGCGTGTTTGAAAGCCACAAGAGAAGCCAATAGGTTCATGACAACTTTGTACCATGCCGCTTTCTGGCTTACACGTTCAGAAAGACGAACTCTTATAGTTTCTGGCACCAAGTTCACCACTGCTTTCAGGGTTTGTGCGGACCACTGCTACTGGGCAGATTTGACCAGATTCAAACTGCAACCCAAACAGCATATGTTTGGGGAGCTGGTTTTCGAACTGCAAGTTCAGGAGTGCCAGAACTTGCCCAGCCCCAACCCTTTAGTGTATAGCACGCAGCAAGATGAAGACTATGTAGGTCGCATATGTACTTACAGCCGTTCTGTATCAATCCGTACAATCCATGTGCGAACTTTGAGCCGCTATCAAATAGCTTTGGCTACATTGATATGATTCCAATGCCCTGGTTCCCTGGTGCCGGTGTCCTTGCCAAGCTGCTGAGCACGAACAGCATCGCAAAGCCCAACGGAGATGGAAAAGCTGGTGGTGTCAGGGCATTTGGCTGGGTCGAATATGAAATCTCAACTCATACGATTGTTTTGTGGTGGGAGCGGTGATTTTCTCATGGAGTATGATGGAATTCTGTTGTTTTGATATGTGTTGATTCATCCATTGCAGTATCTAAGCCAAAACTGAATAACGCAAACAGGTGTTAAAAAAACCCAAAACCGTAGTGACCAAAATTTCGGGCACTTTGGAAAGTGACCAAAACTTCGGGCACCAGGCTTTCCAGGTAGTTGATTTACCTATTCAACATGATGATTTTCAATAGCAAACTGAGACTTTTGGATGTTCATCACAAAACATCACAAAAACTCTGGTAGAAATCATAGGAAAACTGTGGTAGAAAGTACCATAAACCATAGTTATTGGAGTTATAAACCAACTTAGCTATCTTGGGGTCCTCGCATTGTAGAAATCATAGCTTGATATCCAAAGATCCACCATTCGGCCTCGCAGATCCAGTTTTTCGAACTGCATGGGCCTTGGTGAAACAGGCCGAAAAAACTCACAGTGGTGCAAGTCGTGGTGCAAGTCGTGGTTAACCCGTGTTCACCCTATATCGTTGATTGCCCGGCCTAGTAAACGTTTACATAACTATGGAAATCACCATTTTGAATAGGTAAATCAACTAAATGGTACATGTTCAATAGCCATGTCAGCTATTACCAGAGGGTAATGAAGTTTCTTTGAACCTCTGAATAAAATTCCATGCCGTTCATACAGCTAGTCATCACTTAAATCAATTTTGCCTCAATGAAATCCCCCATTCTTACGCAATCTCGCCAGCTCGCTCGACATTGATCATCTACACAACATTCATGTACAAATTAGATACTTATTCACATGATGCGAAACAACTACGTTTAGTCATTGGGTTGTAACCCATGGTATATATTTAACATTTGGTATATTTAATGAATATTGTAGATAATGTTAGGTTTTAAACCCGGTTCACTAGTTATGCGGATGATAAGTAAATCGGGCGATTAGCCATACAATTTTAATTTTTGATTAATTATCATTAAACAACTATAGATATAATACCATGTTATCGTTTATGTATAAACCATTTCTTTTTAAGAACTCGTTTTTTTCACATGTTTTTGCCGGTTGCCCCGTTGTGGGACCCCTATGGAATCAGCCAGGGCCCTTTTTTTGCTGGGCCCCTTCGCGTGAAGCCAAAGGATAAGTTGAGGCCTGACGACCTGGACCCGCTGGATCCGCAGGATCCGCTGGATCTTTGTCGAAGCCTAATCTGCTTGGTGGTTAATAGTGATTATATAACCCATGACGGATCCATGGTGCCGGTATATATGCTAACATGACCGGGGTATATTGATGGGATTCATGGAGCACCATATATTTACCATATATAGCATACATGGATCCTATTGGTAATGATGGTTAATGTGATAACCTCATATTATTTATCTATGGGATAATGTATGGGATATTTCCATTGGATAATATGGTGAAACAAATCAATCGATATGGTGTATGCGGAAATTATTACTGGTTGGTGGTTGACCTACCGAAATTCCCAACTGAATGGAAACCACCAACCAGTAATGACAAGGGGGGCACTCCAATCGTCATTTCATCCAAAGGGCCAACCAGAAAGTACCATGATTTATGACAATTAGATACAATTAGGGGGTATTCCCCCAATAGTCATGATTTGATACTTTTTTTTGGCACCCTCGCACTTCGGCTCAGCCGGGCTAGGGGTTTATGAATCCAGGGTTGACATTAATGGTTAGTAATGGTTATCCAACATCAGCAATGGATAGTAATGGTTAGTATTTAATAGTAATGAATAGTAATGGTTGTATCATGGGAATTCATTTCATAGTAATTGTTACTGTAGTAATGAGTAATGGTTATATATAGATCCAATTCTTGGTTACAATTACTGTAAAAGGGCTTTCATAATGGTTATAGTAATGGTTAGTAAATGCTGAATGAAAAATGAAACAAATCCATCTATAAATATTGGATATTCATCATAGTGGTTAGTAATGGTGAAGTATATAAATGGAAAATCCATCTATAGATATGGGATATTCAGAAAGATAAGTCATGGATTATTATATAGTGATTATTTATCCGTAATAAACATAGAAAAATATGTCGAACACCAATTGTTTCACTAGGAAATTTATCCATCAATGGCGGGTTTTTCACATCCATGTAAAGACTTACAAGAGCGTAATCCCAAAAAACTTTGAAAACACAATAAAACGCATTCATCGTTGAGTCGCTCGATTTAGTGAGACATCCCTGGCCTTTTGTTGTGCCTCTTTAGGGAGGATGTAGGGGGTATTGCAAGGGTGTAGTCTTGATACAGTTTTGTGCATCTCGCTTCACATCGGAAGGCATTGAAGTATCAATGAAACAGGGTAGTGCCCCATATGAAATGGTGGTTTCATAAAAAGAAATGATGAAAATGATGATTTAATGGGACTTATAGCTGATTTATGATTAAGTTAGTTTATAGCTCCATAACTATGGGGGAGGTTCCTAGAGTTTTATGGGCTTTATAAACCAAGTTATAACTGGAGGGCATCACCTTGAATACAGATCCCTGATGGGGGACAGCACACACCGAAAGCCTAGGTCAGCACTGGTGTGGATTATTGATTACTATGATATACCATCAACCTCAGCATTATGAACTTTTGGCAGGTGATTACGACTATATTATATGGTTAATATAGTTATACTGTAAAACTATTGTCATATCATTACTATTGAATTGTTGATTACTACTATATTATACAAGGTGATGCTCCAGTTGGTTAGGTAATCTGATTCATTACTTGACTAATGATTGTGCTTCTGGGACATATGTATTATATGTATATATATATATATACATCTAGGTTAATAAAACAACTTATAACAAAGGCAACAACTTGTGATTTGTGACTACAGTGTATACCATAGGGGGTTCTATAAATGCGGGTCCCCCAAAATGGATGGATTACAATGGAACATCCTATTGAAATTTATAAATAGAGGTAGCATCATTGTGGGAAACCTCCATATAATCTTTGCCTGTACAAATCTCTGGTAATTTAACATGTTGAATCATCTACATACAAATGGGCCATTTTGCAAAGCTATGATACCATCCCCCAAATGAAGATAGACACTGCCAAATACAGGGCTGGGTAAATGTCCAACCATTGTTCACATCAGCCAACTGGCTTGGGGACATCATCTGCAACAGATACTTTTACCAACCTCGCGTTTTTCATCAGTTTGGTGTGTGTGTGTGTGATAACCATCAAGAATACATGTTGGATATAGTTGATTAAACAAACATGGTTGATGAGTTATGAAATGGGTTGCCACAAAAGATTGGACCAAATTTGGTTGAAATAGGGGGCCCAACAAAATGGATTTGCAATAGGGGCCACAACAAAAACTGGGCCACAACAAAAACTGGCTACATCAAGTTTCCATTCCTTATCCATCATTGTTGTTTATATACTGTACCTTCTCATGAAAACCATTAGTTACCATGAGTAAAGCACTATGTTCAAGGTCTATGGCTTTGTCTAAAACTAGGCTATACCAAAATCATCCAAAATCCCATGGTGTATTGTAAATTTCCATATTAAATTGCCATTTGGAGGATATGCTTCATTTTCAGACACACCGGCCGATTTGCTAAGCCCAGTTTTCAGACAGCGCTGAGCTCCAAACATCTCAGGGTGTGAGGCAGCAGTCGATGCGCCTATCCACGGAAAACATCAGCAACTCGACATGGGTGATACATATAGACATGTATACTTATAGATCAATTATGTATAATGTGTAATACATATATATATATATATTCATGTACTGTATCTATATGTATCAAAACTGTATGCGCAAGTATAAATATATATATATATATATATATGTGTATGTATATATATATATGTATATATATACATATACATATACACATATGATATATTACATGTATACTTTTACAATCTTTTACATACATTGTATACTGCGTTGTTTCTTGGCCATCAAGGTTTTTGTTCGATGAAACCTCCACTGTAGATAGGGTTTGTTGGGAGGGATACCGGCAAATCAAGATCCAACATTACTTTTATGCAGACCTTTGTATTTGTATGTATCTGTTTAGTCCCTCTAGTCCCATTTCAATTTGTCAGACAATCGGATAATGCCTAGAGTCTAGATATGACCCGAAATACCAGTTAATAAGTCAGCAAGTCACCGAAATTGCATCATAGAATCCATAGAAATCACCATAGAAATCCATGGTTTCATCCGTGTTTTAACATGCTTTAACGGTCATCAGCCATCCGGTCCGATCATCCATTGCCTCGGAAGGAGGATTTGTCCGACATGAGTCCTGGGTGGTGACTAAATTCTGATGTTATATGATCTATTCAATATATATAGTTTGTATAGTTGTATATTGTGTAATGGGATGGCAGTGACGGCATTTGACTGCTAAAATCTCACATTTCAGCACTGCTGGTTGATTAATTAGGTACAGGCCTGTGTGCATGTGTGCATGTGATGATCGTCTGCAGCCAGTTTGGCTCACTCTGGGGGACATGGGCTCATGAGTGACATGTGGGGTGATCCGGTCCTTTAATTTATTTCTTTAGATTCCTGTGAGGGAAGAGTGAGGAATCCATCATGCAGGGTTTGGTGTCCTGTCCAGGGTGAATTTTGGATAAAAAAAATGGATTTCAGCACAGGGGGTTAATTAATCATTCCAGGCCAAACGGTTTATTAATCCCGGAGGACCACCTGTTTTTAAATTACAAAAAAACATGTGCAGTGGTGGTTGATTAATCGGGGGGGTTGATTAATCCTACCTTGACATTATAATATATATATATATATATACATAT